TATTTATTGCATTTCTTCACATAAGCAGGTTACAAATCTATGAGTAACGTGCTAGCTATATACAGGAATATTCATTTTTCTAATTAACTGTCCTTACAACACGCCATATTGTAGAGACGCAGATCGGTGTACATGATTTTGGGGAGGTGGGTGGGTTTTTTAAATTTCCACTTCTTTGCCAAGGTTTGGTCCCTTAAATTTTAGCCAAACGTTTTGCCAGAGATGTTAACGCACTGGCTAAAGTCTTGCGAATGAGCAGTGCACGTCGACATTGCGATCAAAAGTCCTTGCGCAAAGAGGGGGCCATTGTACGTATGCACGTGAAGGAAAAAACCTTCAGGATAATTTCTGATTGGTTAATCCCAAGTTTGCATCAGTTGTTCACATGCTTAGCAGCCAAAGTTCGATATTTATCAGATATTTTGTAATATTAACAGGGCTAGAAAACGGTTCCCTTGTTCTGCCAAGGTACTTGGACCTTGTACGTACCTGGTACGGATTAATTGTTGTGACGCAGATGCGTTGGCAGACTGAAAAACACCCTCAGGCAGATAGAGCCTTCAGAACATATTACTCCATTAACCGCAATTTATAGCTTTGCTTAAATTGATTATATAAGACATCACAACACACACAAAAACAACACAATACAATACAACACGAAAACAACACAGTACAATACAACATAACACAGTACCACACAACAGTACAATACAACATGACACAGTACGGCACAATACAACACAGCACAACACAACACAGTACAACACAACACAACATAACATAACACAACACAACACAGCACAACACAGTACAACACAACACAGTACAACACAGCACAGCACAACACAGCATAACACAACACAGCACAACACAGTACAACACAACACAGTACAACACAACACAGTACAACACAACACAGTACAACACAACACAACACAACACAGTACAACACAACATAACACAGTATAACACAACATAACATAACATAACACAGTACAACACAACATAACATAACATAACACAGTACAACACAACAACACAATACAACATAATACAACGCAATACAACACAATACAACACAACTTTTGTATTATTCTATAATTTTTATTTTATTTACTTCAGTATTCTATAATCTTTATTGTATTACTCCAGTTGTCCAGTGTTTTCTGGAGAAGAGAACCGTGTACCGGCCAAATGCCTAATCTGTGGTCAATGGCTTTGCTGTGAGGCGTGGTGTTGCAAACAGACCATTGGTGGTAAAGATGTAGGCTCTTGTACAGCGCATGCGCTAACATGTGGCGCCGGTGTAGGTATTTTTCTCCGGGTACGAGATTGTATCGTCCTGCTGCTGAATGGCGTTGGCAAAGGATGTTTTTTTGCACCGCCATATCTTGACGCGTATGGTGAGACCGATCCAGGGTTAAGGTAACTCGGATTTTGTTTTGTTTAAGTCAGTTTAGTTTAGGTTTCCTCCTGTAGTAACACTGGATCAGTAAAAGATGATCCTTACTGGACCTCTAGGGAGAACAGTTTAGAACTGATAGAGCTATCCAGTATAAATAAAGTTAGTTTAGTTTAGGTTTCCTTCTGTAATAACACTGGATCAATAAGAGATGATCCTTACTGGACCTCTAGAGAGAACAGTTTAGAACTGATAGAACTATCCAGTATAAATAAAGTTAGTTTAGTTTAGGTTTCCTCCTGTAGTAACACTGGATCAATAAGAGATGATTCTTACTGGACCTTTAGGAAGAACAGTTTAGGACTGAGCTATCCAGTGTAAATGAAGTCATTTTGTATTTTATTTTCAGGCGCGGTAACCCACTGTACTTGTGTGACGAACGCTATCAACGACTTCAGAAAGTTTGGAAACAACATGGCATTGCCGGTGAAATTGTCCGCCATCTTGAAACAAACAGACATTTGATGCATGTGGATTGGACAAATTATTAAAGTACTTGAAATTTGTTGCGAAGGGATATTTACTAAAAAAACTAATTTTGGGATTACATCTACAAGTCGAGATATACGTTCCGACGGCTGTAATTCAATATGCAATTAATTATTTAACAAAACTAAGTAGAGGAATTGTAATTATGCCTCAACATGCACAACACAGAAACAGCTTTTAATGTGATGTACAAGTTGATTTTGAAGTACCGATATAATCAATTGAATATACTGTTGGATGGATTATCTTTGATTGTTGTATAGAACGATTTGCAGCTATATGTGTTTTGGACCTAAACTAAACTAAACTAACTTTATTTATACTGGATAGCTCTATCAGTTCTAAACTGTTCTTCCTAGAGGTCCAGTAAGGATCATCTCGTATTGATCCAGTGTTACTACAGGAGGAAACCTAGACTAAACTAACTTTATTTATGTTGGATAGCTCTATCATTTCTAAACTGTTCTCCCCAGAGGTCCAGTAAGGATCATCTCTTATTGATGCAGTGTTACTACAGGAGGAAACCTAAACTAAACTAACTTTATTTATACTGGATAGCTTTATAAGTTTTAAAGAACTAACTGTTCTTCCTAGAGGTCTATAGTAAGAGTCATCTTTTATTGATCCAGTGTTACTACAGGAGGAAACCTATACTAAACTAACTTTATTTACACTGGATAGCTCTATCATTTCTGAACTCTTCCTGTCATATTGATCTAGTGCATAACCTGCGAACAGGGCCAACAGCAACCTCGCAAGGCCAGGGTCTTAAAAACAGGCGGCCAGCTATGCCGACATTTTTTGCGGCATCTGGCCGCGTCGCGCAGCAACATGCGAATCGGGTGGTAAACAAAACATGGTTCGAAGTAAGTTTATTTGTTAAAAAATATTTATTCTAAATAACTTGTTCTTTTTTTTAATGTTCGATATTTTACATGTTTGTTTATTGATTTTAGTTACCGAAGGTCTTGTTCGTCAGAAGGCAGAGCATAATAATTGCGAGTTATCAACGCTTGAAGAGGTCTCACTGCATCAACTTGACATTGAGAGGTATTAGAGTTGGGCAGAATTTAACAGTTTTTATTTATATTAAAATAATTTAATATACATGAATCACAACTATTAAAAGCCGTGTAGGGCATGTTTATCAGGGCAGATAGATCTAACCTTATCTGCAAGGAGGGGTGCAGGTTTTCCATGGAGTGGTGCATGAGGGAGCCTTACTGCCCACTCTCCTCTGCAGTCTGCAACGCTACTATCCCAACATTACCATTATTTGAGATGGCCAAATCTGCATGTTCGCTGTTCTGTTACGTTTTACATTATCTTCTGTTTATAAAGTTTATATCTGCTTTTTATCACGTGTGCATGACTGGACAGTTGCTGTAGCACAGTACAGTAAATTTACTTGTTTAAGTACAGTATATTTGAAAATATGCATGGCTGTATAACAACCTCGACATGTTTACACATTTAACCATGATATTTAACGAAGCATTCTGAGTATTTTCTTGTGAGCTCACAAATCAACTAACGTTTCAAGAAATCGACACACGCTAACGGTAGAAGTTCCGCAAATCGCTATTAAAAAAGCAGAAAATGTATGGTCAAGCAAATTTGTTATGATGATGCTGGACTTCTCTGGGCAGGGGGGGTGCTAGACACTGGGGTGGGTACCCCCAGGGACGCCGGAACGATCATAAGGCAAAGGGGGGCAGACCCACAGCAAGGGCACTTTTCTAAAGCAACCGAAATTTTTTTTGTTAATCTAAAAATTTCGGCGAAAAATTTTCGGTCAGTGTACCATTTTAGGGGTCAAAAAATTTTTCCGGGCATACCATAAGTGAAATATAAACTATAAATTGTCTGAATCTCATGATTTTCGCACAAAAACCGTCGTTTTAAATGTGATTTATCACGTATTTTTTTATAACTAAAAGGGCACTTCTGCCCCCCCTGCCCCCCCTAGCAAAAGGCAAGGGGGGCAGCCGCCCCCCCCTGCCCCCCCAGTTCCGGCGTCCCTGGGTACCCCCTGCACCCTCACGGTTAAGATCTGCCTCTGAACATGCTTTACAAGTCAAAATTACATAATATATGAAGTTGAAGTATATTTTAATTGATATAAATCAATATGAAGTGACTGTATGTTATTTTTAGGATTGAAATTCTTGATAAAGTTTGTCGTGAATTAAAAATTCTTTACTTGCAAAGCAACCTTATTCCTAAAATTGGTAAGCCGAAATTCCTACCAATTATTTTGTTTTAATATCAGTACTTTCTTCAGAATTTGTTGTCAATCCAATTGCAACTGATTGTTTCCATTATTTCAGAAAATGTTGGTCGATTGAAGAAGCTTGAGTATCTTAACTTAGCATTGAATAATATTGAAAAAGTTGAGAATTTAGAAGGTAGAATGAGCTGTGAACTTGTAATATATATGAACCAGTTATAACAATAACATTGCATTCGGTTCACTTGACATGATATACTTACCATTCCACACCATACTGTACAATAGCACATCATTCCATACCACAACATACTGTACAATTACCGTCTCACACTATAGCATACCATACCATACTGTATAATTACCATATCACACCATATACCACACTATAGCATACCATACCATACCATACTCAGTCTGTATAATTACCATATCACACCATACCACACTATAGCATACCATACCATACCATACTCAGTCTGTATAATTACCATATCACACCATATACCACACTATAGCATACCATACCATACCATACTCAGTCTGTATAATTACCATATCACACCATACCACACTATAGCATACCATACCATACCATACTCAGTCTGTATAATTACCATATCACACCATATACCACACTATAGCATACCATACCATACCATACTCAGTCTGTATAATTACCATATCACACCATACCACACTATAGCATACCATACCATACCATACTCAGTCTGTATAATTACCATATCACACCATATACCACACTATAGCATACCATACCATACCATACTCAGTCTGTATAATTACCATATCACACCATACCACACTATAGCATACCACACTATAGCATACCATACCATACTGTATAATTACCATATCATACCATACCACACTAATATAGCATACCATACCATACCATACCACACTATAGCACCTGTATAATTACCATATCACACCATACCACACTATAGCATACCACACTATAGCATACCATACCATACTGTATAATTACCATATCATACCATACCACACTAATATAGCATACCATACCATACCATACCACACTATAGCATACCACACTATAGCATACCACACCATACTGTATAATTACCATATCACACCATACCGCACTATAGCATACCATACTAATATACCACACTATAGCATACCACACCATACTGTATAATTACCATATCACACCATACCACGCTATAGCATACCACACCATACTGACATGGGTTTTAAGGTTTCCTTCAAATTTTCAATAGCAAATCTTCATTCAAACGAAGTTCCTGCAGTTGTTTCACATTTCCTGCGAGCAGTGCTTGCGTGCTCGCCTATTTTTCCACCCCTGATAGCATACCACACCATACTGCATGTTGCATGTACAATTACCATATCACACCATACTATTAGTATATCACACCCACCATACCACACCATTCTGTACAATACCATATTACATTGTACCATACCATACCATACCATACCATACCATACCATACCATACCATGCTATACAATACCATATCACAATTGATATCCCACCAAACCACATTACTGTACAATACCTTATCATATCACACCATACCATACCATACCATGTTGTACAATACCATATCACATACCATACCATTCTCACCATACCACACCATACAATAGCATACTATACTATACTGTACAGTACAATATCATTCATACCACACCCACCATACCATACCATACAATACAAAACCATATTGTACCATACTATACCATACCCACACCATACAATACTTATACCATGCATTCCATGCCTTAACAAAAGCGTTTTCAACATGGATCTGTATGAAAGATATTATGAAAAATGTATTCTTCTTAAGGTTGTGAATCCTTGCAGAAGCTAGACTTGACTGTCAATTTCGTTGGAGAATTAACAAGTATCAAGAGCTTGGAGGTTAACCACCATTTGCAACAATTGTATGTTTTACTGCTCATTTCCTTTTGAAGTATTGAAAAGATTTAGAGTATACGCGTAAAAACGCACAAGTTGTAACAAACCTGCAGCAGACTTGTAGCAATGCTGTTCCAACAACTTGTCAACAGGATGTGTTCGCACTGCTTGTTCC